CAATTGCTATAGTGTTGCATCTTTCTCCTGGGCATTTAATAATTTGTAACTTTAAATTGTGAGTTAAATCTCTTTTTTGTCCAATTTTACCTGTAAAAGAAAAATGCTTATTTTTGCACACCTGAATACAAAACATTTTTTACTTCCAGCACTCTTAATACTTATAGAACGCTTATAAATTATTAGTAGTTATTGAGATTGATGTGATTTTGAATTGGTAAAATGTACTTGGAATAAAAATATGATCAGAATATCAACTTGCATAATAATTGTGCACAAACTGCATGTCAGCGATGTCTATTCAGCGATCAGAAACTTGACCCACCCTGTTATGGAGTCAGCCTTTTGAGTTGTCATAAATGCTGTGAATTTACAACTTTTACATTGTGTTTACAGTACTCATGTAGAGCCCGTTACCTTGACAGCTGGGGAAAGTCTCAATACGGGCCTGCTGTGGCTTTTCCACGGCCCTTTGGTGGTGATTAACAAATGCTGTTGAAAGAATTGGTATGTAGATGTGTTATGTCTGCCTCACAAAACAAGATTTTGTACTACACAAAGCCTTACTAAAGTTTGAGAGTGCTATTGCTTCTAATTAGCAATCAGATGTTTATTATTAAATTATGCTTAGTATGTAAATCCTCAAGTTATGAATGTAATGATAGTAGTTCTGTCCAAACTGTTAAAATAGCAACAGAATTGGGTGAAGCTGAAAAAGAAAAGAATGAGGTAAACCAACAAGTCACAAGAGACTGTGCAATACATTGATTTTACCATAGTTAAGGAACATTCTTGAGCATGGCACAAAGTGCTTAAAACATCCATAAATATCAGTTTTCTAAATTTAAAACTCACAATTGCTGAAAGAGTTCACTGCTTTGCTTGATGTAAGCAGAGGTCGTACAACAGGACCTGAAAAAAATTGCACTCAGCAGTTACACACTCTTATGTCTAGCAGTCATTTAACTGGTTTTATTGTATTTTTACCTTTTGTCTTGACGTGTTTTAGGGGTGTTGGAACTTTTGGTGCGGGTGGGACTTTTGGTGCAGGCGGGACTTTTGGTGTAGGTGGAGCTTTCTCTCTATTAATTTTCTTTTTTTTGTGGGGGGTATCATGAGGCTCATGATCTGATGAGTATATTTTCTTTCTAAGAGCAAAATCAGGGAATTGGATTATTTTACAAAGCTGGATTATATAGGTAATAACACTGGCATGTTTGTCAATTGAAATAATTTTTTTTACATACAATGTAATTTCTTCTCCCAATTCAAACTCCAAAAAGGGTGCATACTACTTTCTGTGGTCTATATACAAGTCTTCTGACACCGTACAAAAACTTTGGAAGGTTAGGAAAAGGCCAAAACATAATTTAAAAAAAAAAGAAAATAAAAAAACTTATTTGAATCTGGCACAATTCTTTCTTTGCATGTGGAAAAAAAATTGGCACAATTGACCCTTCGCAGGAAGTTTGATTGACAGGCAATCTGACCAATCATAACGCAGAAAATAAAAAAACTTCTTATTTGAATCTGGCACAATTCTTTCTTT